CGGGGAGGCGGAGGCCTGCTGCTGCGGGGCGCCCTGCAGGGCCGACAGCTTCTTGGTCGCCCTCGATCCAAAGCTCCTCTCGGACACCGAGTACCTCCTGCCCCGCCGGTCGTTGCCGTCGGTTTCCGGGGCCTGCGACACGGGCAGCGGAGCGTGGGCCTCGGGGGGGTCGCCCTGCTCCTCGGGCAGCCCCCGCATCTCCTCGGAGGCCTGCGAGTCGGTGGAGGTGTCGACGCTGGGGCTGCTGGAGCGCGAGGAGTCGGAGGACGCCTGCGAGGAGCGCTGCGAGGCGGCGCTGGACTTCTCGGACGACCCGCAGGACGCGGCGCCGAAGCGGCTGTTGGGCGTGGACTCCAGGCGCGCGATTTTAATCGGCGGGTCATAGTCTTCGTCCTCGATAAACCGCCGGGGGGTTTTAATGATCCGAGAGGAAATGGCACTGACCACAGGCATGATGAACTGCCGGATGTTCTTGACCTGTGTCTTCACCTTTCTCCCCTGCAGCTGAGCGGCTTCTTTCTCGATTTTCTTTTGCGCCCCCTTCTTTGCCCTCTGCAAGAGCTGCTTAGCAATGGTGGCATCTGTCCTTTTAGAAGAAGGGATGATCCTGACCGGCTTAATCCTTCGAGGGCTCTGCCTGACCACCGTCTTCTCTTCTTTTGCGAGGGGAGGGGTCCCTTCCTTGTCCCTCCGGGCCTTCTGCGGCTTTTCCAGCGGGGAGTTGAGCAGGAGGCCTGAAGGGCTCTTGACCCTCTCTGCTGACGGAGGCCGTCCTCGCCGCCGCACAATCTGCACCCCTTTCCTTCCTATTTGAAGCTTCCCTCCCTTAAACTTGGACTTGAGAGGAGAGAGTTTGCCTGCTCTTAATTTCTTAATCTTTGTGGCTTGCTGAAATGTCGCAGAAGGTGTCCGTTTTATTTTTTTCAGGCTATCTTCTTTGTTCCCCTTTGGTAATTCTGAAATGTCCTTTCCGTGTGTTATTTTGATTTTTACTCCAGGGAAGGTGGGAGGTCTTCCTCTCTTTTTTTCTATACTTTTAGAATCTTTCTTCTTGATCTTATCTCCAGACTTGACCTCTGTTTTACTTAGCGGGGAAAACACAGATGGGTCTGAGAGGAGAGCTGAATTTCGGTCAGAGCCGCTTCTAGGTCTCCCGCGAGGTTTTCGAGGGCTAGTTTTAACTGTGTATAGAAATTAAACAATGAAGAGCATATATTTAGCTTTGCAGTTCAGGTCTTTACTAAGTTGAATATAATTTAGCACAAACTACTTGGTACTGAACTCTATTTGAGGCTAATGAGTCAATATAACATCTTAATTGTGCTTAGTTTCTTTTCCCCAAAAACTTGCCTGGAAGAAATCAACTAAATAACATTCCACCTAAAAGAACATTTAACCACTTTTTTGATTTAAAAAACCTAACATAATAATCAAAGGTTTTTGGCTGAGCAATTTATGTTATACAAAACTGATTTTTCCTACAACTTTAGGTGAGCAAGGAGGTTTTTCCTGAATTCAAAAAATATGTTTAAAAAAATCTGTACTACCTTTTCCATATCTTAGCCACCAAGATTAACATTTGAGAACATGTTTATAGTAACTCATTCCATCTTTTCAACTCAGAATTTTGGCTTTAATAAATATGAACAAAGTGCTCTTCGATTAATAACATACCAACTTCTATAGGAAAAGGCTCCTGAGCAACTCAGCCTCCCATGTTTCAATCTGTTTCGCATAGTAAACTAAGAACGTTTTACTGAAGAGAAAAGCATTCATACACGAGACATCAGAATATGACCCCTGAACTCAGGAGCATGTAACTAATCAGTGAAGTGGCTTAATGATGTGCCCATTAATCTATTCCCCTACCTACAGGTTCCTGAACTAATTAGTCTCAAGTTACCCCCAAAAAATTAACCCGAACTGATACAAGAGCAAATTAATATTTTATTAAATCAGATTTCTTCTAAATAAAAAGAATTTGCCAAATTATAAATCAGCTCAATCTGCTACTCATCAAGAGACTCAAGAAAACAAAATTCTTTTCCTAAAATTCTTTGTATAAACCTGTATTTTCTAAATGTATTAAGAGTTTCCTAGTCATCATATCTTCCCTTCCCTCATGACTTTTTAATGTTTTATATGACTCAACAGGCACCAAAAGAGGAGTGTGCCATTATGATGAACATTTTAGACTATGGAACCAACTTTCTAACAGAACAGAAATCAACAAAGGGTTTATTGTTGAGCCTTTGAAATATAAATGCTTCCTTTAATAGATTAAAGATTCACAAATTCATTTTCAATATATACTAATGACAACAAAAGTAACAGACTATGAAACAGTAGAGAAACTATGTTCCATTTCTTAAGTAATGAAGCATATAGAGATGGTTTTAAACAACCAAGACAACATTCAAGGTGGACTGACAGCCAAGAACACTTAGGAGGAGACCATTAAGAAAGAATTGTGAATTAACAAAGTAAACGCCTACCCGGGAAGTACATCACAAGATTCCTTATCCTCATGGTAGACTTGGACCTGGCCACTCCTAGGGCTGTATTAATTCTGAAGACCTTCTATCCAACTTTTAAAAGAAACTTTTGGTGGAGAAGTAGAAAAGGCAGAACAGAGAAGAGTCTAGCTCTGCCACCAGTTTCCATAATCCACATGCAAAGAACTCACAAATCAGTTATAAGTAATTGCTCACCATGTATTTTCTGGGCCTCATTTTGTCATTTATAAATGGTCAGACCAGATGATCTCTAAAGTCACTTTCTGATAACAAAGTTTTAAGATTTCACCATATATTAAAGAGAACATTGCTACTGTCTAAATGGCACAGATACTGGGATCCTATTGGCTAATTCCTCCCAACTATAATGGCAATTCTACCACCATTTGGAAACAAAAACTGTCAACTTATGTGTTTGAATTAGATTACTGTATAACATACGATAACTCTTAAATAAAACCCAAATGCTAACAAACATCACACACCGAGTCAATGTCATCAGCAAAAACACAGCTAATGACATTATATTTAACTAGACTGTCTATCCACATAAAATCAAAGAAAATCATGCCAGAATTCAGAATAGCAGCAGAGACAGGGACTGTTGTCTCAGCGAAAGAGCTATAGCTGCCTCCTATTGGAATGGAATTCTCAGGCCATTAAATGTGTTTCCACTAAGTCCATCTGTCAGAAAGCTGCTCAAAGTCTAGAATTTCCAGGCATTCTAGACACTGTCTCGGTGAGACAATGACAAAAATATCGCTTACAATGGAAACACACCACGTCATTTTTTTGTTTTAATACAGCCTTTCAAGAGCCAGGTAAAACACTCACACAGTGCTAATATTTTGTTTTTAGTTCTTTGACAATAACAGACCAAATTTCACCTGTAAAAAACAATGGCCAAATTATTCCCAAAGTCATATATAGGGTGGGCAAAAGTAGGTTTACAGTTGTTTGTATGGAAAACAATACAGAAATCACTAAATAATAATACAGGAATAAACTCTGTGCTTTGGGGACTCACAGCTATAAACCTACTTTTGCTCTACCCTGTATACTACCATATAATTCAAAACATGTAAATCTGAGGTTGCCATACCAGGTGCCCAATCATTCCATGGAAATCTACCTCCCATGACCGAGTGGCTCCCACAGAGCAGCCGGTGGAGAAGAGGCCCAGAAAGAGGTCTACTTCATAAGCCACTTCTTCCTCAGTGTGGCGGACAGGGAGGGACGTACCAAACCCCCCTAGAATTTAAGACGATCTCTGCACGCAGAGAAGGCAAAGGGAAGCCAGTCTCTTAACAAACAAAACGTAAAGGCGCCGCGCGCCGAATCGGCCATACCTGAAGGAGACCTGGTGGGACTTCGCACTCTGACTTCTTCATCTGAGCCAAAACCTAAGAACTGCTCATCCTACAACAAAGGAAAATTATTTTAAAATCAGAAACAAAAACATGAAGTGAACAAATCCTAAAGAAATGCCCAGAGGAGACACAACGAATTTGAAAAATTAGCCTCTATATATTAATCATCATCATTCACATGGATGTTTAAAATAACTGTTATTGAAATACATGGACCCAGGCATACAAGTTCGTTACAGACAAATGGGAGCTGTGTGTAACTGAACAAGGTATGGAAATGTCATCTTCGGTGCATAGTACCCAAGGGACAGGCCTAAATTTCAAAGTGTAGATGCAGCCCAAAACAATTAAAGAACGGCTTTAATTCAAGCAGGCAAATCAGTACAATGGCAGAAATATACAGCCCCAATAAAACAAATCTTTTCAACAGGTAGTTAATTCTACAAACCCTTAAGGAATAACATAAACAATATCATAATCTCTGGTTTACTAAATATTAATTGAGACTGAAGTTGCCATAATGGTCAGCTCCTTAACTCAGGAACTGACATCTAGATGTAATTTCTGTACATTTGAGATCCAAAGAGTCTCAACATGCATTTTATGACATCATTTTAAAATGCCCTGTGATGAGAGACTTAATGGTGGGCAGCAGCACCTGTGACAGCAATCATGCACTGACCACATAAACGGTGAAATTCATTCAGAAATGATGCAGGGAAGCATCTTATTTTCAGTTATATTTGGAAAAGGCAAAAGGCAAAAACTTCTCCTTATTCTAACTTTTAACCTGCCCTTAAAAAAAAAACAAACCACAAGGATTGAACCTATTTTGAGCAAGTTCTCACAAAAGATGATCTATTTAAACAAACTGATGAGTATAAGTTCACTGGTTCAGAGACCAAGAGCTCCTTCCAGAGAGATAAGCGCGCGAGAGAAGTTCTGACTCCAGAAACAAAATCCACATACAACAAAACAAAATAGGGAATGAGAGACAGATATTCTTCAACCTCCAACGAATACTGATAAGCCCCAAACTAAGTTCCAACAATTAAAGCCCCAAATTTTCCTCTCAGGAGCCAAGACCACATGTATGTGGACAGTATCTGTGGATTTTCTGAAGTTGTTTCCCCAGCAAGGTTAAAGCCCGAGTCAGGTGCTAATCTGTTTACCGCTTATTAACAGGGAACATGTGAAAAGACATATGCGACCTTTCAGACAAATCAGCAGGTTCAGTTCCTAAATTTAAATGCTTTTAAAGAACAGAACCTTTGAGGCCAAGACCTGGGATATAATGTAACTGAGACATTTCCCATTAGAATCTAAAAAGGGTCTTGCTCTCAGACTTAAAATTAATGAAGTATTTAACTCTTTAAGAAAAAGCCAGAATTACTCTCTTCAAAGAGATTTTTTGGTACAGTATTGTAATTCTAAGAACTAAACCTAAATTTAAGGCACACTAAAGTACTTTTTACACAGTCTCTTCTTTAATGATTAAATAAAAATTTAAATATATTCAATTGTGAACATCATTTGTGAATAAGAAAAAAACCCTCTGACTTCATCT